AAAGGGAAAAAAAAAAAAAAAAGAAAGAAAGAAAAATGAAGGGAAAACCATTACCATGAACTCTGAAGTATGAAGCGGGATTGGGGGAGAAGGGGTTTGAAGGTATGAGAATTTGCAAAGATCCGCTGGAGAAAGTGAAATTTGTTATAAGCCATCGCCATTGTTGTTTTCCTTGGGATTTTTGCGATCTGTGCTCGAGCTAGCAATTTGTTGCAAAATGCAATTGGACATTTCAGGTGTGGGCTATGTTATGGGCCTAATAAGTGTTAATGACGCCCTTTTTTATTTAATTATAATTATTTTGTTCTCTTTGAATAATGGGCCTCAGGAGCAAAAATTTATGGCCATGCTTCATATCTTGGTATTCAACATGAATTTTGAGGATATCTTGGGTGACACTAAAATTATGCTTAAATTGATACAATTGTTCCAATTGTAATCTAGTAAATTTAAATAACCCAATCTGTAACACAATTTTAGTAATCAGTATGTTAATTTTAAATAATTCAATCTGTAAACAATTTTAGTAATCTTGCAAAGATTATGTGTACAAAATTATTTTAGTTGGGAATTTGAATGATGAGTTTAAAAAATTTTATGTTAAGATGAGAATTTGATGAAACATTATATATTTATTTAAAAGATATCAATATTAGAATTTGAGACGAAATAAATTAATAGGAACCAAACAAGTGGCCAACTAGACAAAAATAGATCAATCTCATAATATATACTAAATGGAACTAACATATAAAAATGATCAATACAAAGCCTAATTACAACAAAAGAACATTTTAATATGAACCAAACACATGGCCAATCAAATACAAACTAAAAATAAACAACAAAATTGGGATAATCTATCTTCTTAAACAATCTTCTTGGGTTTTGACCACTGTTCTAAAAATCGCACTAGGCGGTGCCCAGGCGCCTCCAATTTGCACAAATCGACAGAAAAAATCAGTCAGGTGGCTAGGCGGCGCCTAGGCGGCCCTAAACGCTCCTAGGCGGCCTTGGCGGGCTCGGCGGCCAGGTGGTTAGGCGGCGTCTATGCGGGCATAGGGGGACCTAGGCGCTCCAAGGCGGGCTCGGCGATAATTTTTCATTTTTTTTAATTTAAATATTAGTTACATTATTTTATTCTCATGTTTTCTTTAAAATATGTTAATTTTATTATTTTGACTTAAATG